GGTTTTATTTATCTTGAAACAGAACACTTTCGGGGACCCTGCGGAAGTACATCTAGTTAGTGGATCTAATTTCTGTTTCCTAACCCAAAATAATGTACCATACAGATGGAGAAACGTTACATAAACTTCGTATTTATCCAACCTATTTTATTTAACCCTACTTTACGTCACAAAATATTTTCTTAGTGGTATTAGCGTGACAGACTTTGGAATTTAGAATTGTTGATGCATTATGATAGTAACAGACAAATCCCACTATCTAATTAGAATAGTTCAAGAGTAGGCGGTGGGTGCTGTTATTAACTGCTTTTCCTGTTGGCTATCGGTTCGAAATTAAGGATGGCTAAAGTAGATAGCCCTCGAGATTCGAAAGAAACCAACTTGAATTAATAAGAGATCTAATTTTTATTAATTTATCCAAGATGATATATCACAGTAGAGAAACTAAAAATAAACTTTGTTTTTTATAACATTTCTTTCAGTTCTTTTTTTTTTTAAAAAAGATTGCAGGTTCAGACCAACAGCTTCAAGGATTATCGGAGGAGGAATATCCCCCCCCATCTTGGCTTTGGATGGTAAGAATTGATTTCATTTCATTGATAGAAACATAAAGAAATTAAATTTGTGTGAAAGTCAATATATATTCGTATATTTCATTAATATATTTCTTTTGTAGATAGTGTGTGCTTGTCACTTCTATTACATTTGATAGATTCAACGTCAAAGCGTGGTTAACGTCTCTGACTGCAGACCGAATGATCTGGGGTTCGAGCCCAGATATCACTGAATGCGCTCTGCGTTTCTAACTGTATGTTTTAATACACATATATATATCTTTATGGTTAACAAATTGTTTGTTAGTCAGACAGGAGATTAGAGAGTTTGCCTTTTAAACAGTATAGGAAATTATTGAATATATTACTACTAGACTAAACAGTCGCATATGAGATGAGAAATATGGGATGTTTTAAGTTACAAACATATACGAAATGTGGGATGTTTTAAGTTACAAACATATGAGGAATATGGGATGTTTTAAGTTATAAACATATACGAAATGTGGGATGTTTTAAGTTACAAACATATGAGGAATATGGGATGTTTTAAGTTATAAACATATACGAAATATGGGATGTTTTAAGTTATAAACATATGAGGAATATGGGATGTTTTAAGTTATAAACATATACGAAATATGGATGTTTTAAGTTACAAACATATACGAAATATGGGATGTTTTAAGTTACAAACATATACGAAATATGGGATGTTGTAAGTTACAAACATATACGAAATATGAGATGTTTTAAGTTATAAACATATACGAAATATGAGATGTTTTAAGTTCCAAACATATACGAAATGTGGGATGTTTTAAGTTACAAACATATGCGGAATATGGATGTTTTAAGTTACAAGCATATGCGAAATATGACTTAAAACATCCCATATTTCGTATATGTTTGTAACTTAAAACATCGTAACTTAAAACATCCCATATTTCGTATATGTTTGTAACTTAAAACATTCCATATTTCGTATATGTTTGTAAAAACTTATGATAGAATGTATAGAAATATTAGCGTTAATTCAAAATATACAATTATTATGAATATTTATATATATCAGTAAACAGTACATACTGTGAATTTTCAGTTCTGAAAAATATTTCTTTTGTAATCCCAGGCATGGGTTGGTGGTTAGAGCGCTCGACTAACAATCTGTATTAAGCACAAAAAATTATAAAAAAAAGCCAAGCCATAGTTTACAGAGATCTGAGAAGAAATTCTAGCAAACGAAGCAGAGAGCAAAGGCAAAGGCCCGACATGGCCAGGTGGTTAGGGCACTCGACTCACAATCTACGGGTTCGAATCCCTCTCATCGAACATGCTTACCATTTCAGCAGTGGGAGCGTTATACTGTGACGGTCAATCCCACTATTCATTGGTAAAAAGAGTAGCCCAAAAGTTGGCGGTGGATGGTGTTGACTAGCTGCATCAAACATCAACAAAATCAATCAAGTTTTTGGCAACGAAGATTTCTGTTGATTAGACCTTTTTTTTTACCTTAAAGTTAAGTTTTCGTCAAATAATCGTCTTCAAATGGATAAGACCACTTCGATTAGGATTCGATAAGGTAATAGATAGCTACATTAGATTAATTCAGTAGATAAATCAGGAAATAATTTAACCGTATAGGTAATGTTATTATCGTCGAACAAGTGGGTATTAACTTTATCAGTTAAAGAAATAAGTTTGAAATTTCAATAGTATTAACATTACATGTAACCAATGAATGTATTAGAAACACATGTTATCAGGAAGTACATTGGATATGTTAAATGTATCCGGAATATAGATTTTTATCAGGAAGTACATTGGGTATGTTAAATGTATCCGGAATATAGATTTTTATCAGGAATGGTTTGCTTGTTTTTCTGTTGTTGTTTTTGTTTTGTTTTTTATTTCGCGCAAAACTACATGAGGGCTATCTGCGTTAGCCGTCCCTAATTTTGAGGTGATAGACTAGAGGGAAGGTAACCAGTCAACACCACCCACCGCCAATTCCCGAGCTACTCTTTTACCAACAAAAGGTGGAATTCGCCTTCACATTATAATGCTTCTACGTCTTGATGATGGGAATCGAATTCGCGACCCGCAAATTGCGAGTCGACCATCCTAACCACCAGGCCATGTTAGGCCTAATCAGGAACGAGATCGTAGGTTTAACATTATGAATATTAAATGTATCTGTACCGCAGATCCAATAGGAAATTCTAGTATTACATCCAGTAAATTAAATATATTTTGTTGTTAGGAACAACACCTATTATCATTTATTTGATCGAAATATATCTCGTATATATATATATTTTTTTTATTTTACAACTGAATAATAACAAACAAACAAAAATACCACACAAAGTATTAATACTAATTTCCAGTAATATATATATATATATCAATATACAATCTTTGTTATGTATCTGCTTACTCTAATAATTGTTTTTTTATGTTGTAGAAAAGTATATTATATGATTAGGAAATCACACCCTTTCGACGACTAGCTAATCTTGGTGTTTCAGTATTAGCTTAACTACTGTACGCAATTTAAACGTATATTTCCACCTTCACAACAGCACGTGAATTTCATATAATCTACTTTAATAGATCGAAATATGAATCAATAAAATTATAGAACCATATTTGGAGTACTGTTCTCTAAGATCTGTTAGAAGCTAGCTGTCCAATGTTCTTTTCCAGCCAGTCCATGAAGTAGGACACGCGCGTGTATATTCCTGGATATTTTGGATCGGCACATCGATAGCCAAATGAAACAATTCCAACAACCACCCATCTTTTTTCGTCTTCCTGTATCATGAGTGGTCCACCCGAGTCTCCCTATGGAATAAACATTATATAGAAGTTTATATAAACGTTGTACTTGAACAATTGAATAATATTAGAAAATGAAAAATAATATCTTGTGTCTTAGATAATATTAACATTTATTTGTTTTATTTCAACTTCAAAGCCGCAATTTGTGCCCCGTTCCCTGAAGGGCTCAAATACTAATTCTAGTACTATAATCCTTGAAACTTACTTCTAAGCCATCCGCGGACGTATTAACATTTATCTGGTATCAGTAAAAAAAAGTGTCTATACTAGTATTGATAAATATTAATAAATAAGATAACCAATCAGTAAGCCTGCAAAAAAATAATTATCGTGGATCTCGAGGCTGCTTAGCCGCTAGAGGGAGATCTCCTTAAATGTCGTTGCCACTCCCCCCACCAAGCTAATACCGTCCATTAATCTAACTTTAGATTTATAGTTCGTATTACTTCCCCTTACTCAGTTAATATACGTTACTTATTGTTAACCATAATACAGATATATTATCGGGGATATTTACATACGAACGTACAAGATATCAGCTCTCATCAGTTAATATACGTTACTTATTGTTAACCATAATACAGATATATTATCGGGGATATTTACATACGAACGTACGAGATATCAGCTCTCATCAGTTAATATACGTTACTTATTGTTAACCATAATACAGATACTATTATCGGGGATATTTACATACGAACGTATTAGATATCAGCTCTCATCAGTTAATACACGTTACTTATTGTTAACCATAATACAGATATATTATCGGGGATATTTACATACGGACGTACTAGATATCAGCTCTCAGTTACAGGTATATTTTAGCTAATGCTTGGCTTGTACCACAAAAATGTTATTTCTAAGATTTATTTTCATGTGCTAGTTAAAGTTGTATCTGTCCGTATTGTGGTTACTAATATTAACGTTAAAAAATAACTCTAAGAAACAGATGTACTAAAGGAACTGGGATAAACAGATGTACCAAAGGAACTGGGATAAAATAATTCTAAGAAACAGATGTACCAATGGAACTTGGATAAAATAACTCTAAGAAACAGATGTACTAAAGGAACTGGGATAAACAGATGTACCAAAGGAACTGGGATAAAATAATTCTAAGAAACAGATGTACCAATGGAACTTGGATAAAAATAACTCTAAGAAACAGATGTACTAAAGGAACTGGGATAAACAGATGTACCAAAGGAACTGGGATAAAATAATTCTAAGAAACAGATGTACT